CAGCATGTGGAGAGCAAGGCCACAGAGCTGGACAACAACTGTTCCATCTGCCTGACAGCTGGGAAGAGGTCAGCAACTTACTGCCATGCCTCCACCACTTCTGCTATGTGTGCATCCTGCGCTGGGCTGAGGGCAAGTCTGAGTGCCCCCTCTGCAAGGGGAGGGTGACCTCCATCCCTCAGTGTGGGGGGATGACAACTTCGAGAAGCATGCCATTCCACCCCATGTGGCACCATCAGATGTGTTCCACCTGAGAGTAGGAGCTCCAGGACTCCCAGCTGCCCCCGGTCTTTATACCCCTGCAATAGCCCTGCCATCAGCACTGGGGCCACTGCCCTGAGGTCCAGTGAGCATCTTCCACATGTATGTCTGGGTGTCCCTCTTCTACATCTTTCTAGCTGTACTCCACTGCCTGTCTGAGGAGTGTGTGAATGTGGAGAATGGGTGAATGAATAAAGAAAAGATCAAATGATGCATATCATGAAATGTATTCAAGCCTTTGCCTTCCCTTGCCTTTTCTTTTGGCTGATGAATAAAATTAGTGGAAGTGGGGAGGAAAGAGAGCCAGGGTGCGTGCAAAACCCCACAGTGGGGAGCCAGCAGCACTGGGCAGCTGGGAATGAGAGCACTCAGGGCAGTTGTCTATGTCTGGTGGAAGCGATTGCAGGAAGGAATGTATCAAAAAGAGCAGGTGACCAGCTATTTTCCTCTTTCCAAACTTCTGTACTGTTGAATTTCTGCTGGGAGAAGAGGCAGGTGTGTGGCAGGGGGATCATGCCACAGGTGCTTGCTGCAAGTTGCACTGGCAGCTAAGAGAGAGCAGAGTGGGACACAAACTCATTCGCTGGGAAACAGCTCTAGAGGCACTCGAGTGCAAGCACTGGAATCACTGCAGACGTGCTGTCTCGAGTTAGGTACACTCTGTGGGGATGTGGAAAGCATCTCCGAGGCAGTACACTCCCCCTTCTTGCAGTACACACACAGCTGTGTGCGGGGATCACTAGCATTTGCTCCTTATCCAGGAAAGGCTCTGGCAACGTGAGTCCAAAGGAATATATTCAGCTCCTTTGTGTTTGGATTTACTGACCAAGCACTGAGCTGATTTGGCTCCTGGGGACTGGAGAAGCACATGAGCAAATGCACTTCTCTTCCCTGGTGGGAAACTGGTTTGATGCCTTATTACTGTAATTGCCAAATCCATCAGTCACTGAACGCTGTCTCCAAGACTTCATCCTCTTTCACCCTCTGCTCAGGAAGGACAGCCAGCCTATTTTGACAATGCTTACAGAAAAGTGCTTGGGATTTGTTTATTCTGCACTGTATCTCTGGTCATCCATGTTCTTCTCTTTCTTTAAAGGTAAGCTCATCTGTGGCTGTCCATGGTTTAGCTTTCTTTTTCTTGCTATTTGGTTTGTTTGTTGTTGTTACTCTTTTTCACATCCTACCCCATCTCTTATGTTTCTACTTGTATTTTGAACTTTGTTAGAGTTTCATGCTGATATCACTGTTTTGTAATCAGTATGGGTAAGTTTGTGGATCTTACAGCGCTGGGCAGTTTTTTAAGGAATGAAAAGGTGTGATGCTTTTTTTTTCCCAATTAAAAGTGAGTAATTTTAACTTCTAGAAATTAATTGAAATAGTGTTTAAAAAGAAATATGTTCTTGCTTTCTTTAGAAATTTAACCTGTCCATGTTTTTTTGAGAATGGCAAATTATCACTTCAGGCTGGGCAGGATGATTTTGAGAACCCTGTAGATGTGAGGGTGAAATGGTATTCTACAAAGAAATATGACCAGAAGAAAATTCTTAGCTGTTTACTTTCTGTGCATCATTTTGGAAGATTTATGTACATATAAATACACAGATTAATTATTACTTGTTTGTTTTTATTAAAATCCTTTTAGTATGCTTAAAATTGCTTCCAGGCAGTGATGGATGTAAGTTGGAAACACCTAATAAAAATAATAATGAGCTTCTGGAGTCTGAGATGTGACTTCTGTCCAAGCTGTTTTCTGAAGTTTCAGTGTGGTACAAACAAAAATAGAAACTGTGTGATTATTCCAAAACATGGAGGATTACAAGGCTAACAATGAAGTGTTTTTAAGTGAAAATGTTGAAGTAGCCACAGTCCTGAAAGGTGCTCAGTATTCTACACAAATTGTGCTTTTGTTGCTCCCTTACAGCTGGAACATAAGTGTCTGCAGCAACTATAAATGCTAAAACTGAGTATTGCAGGTGTGAAGGACCATGTCATGTTACTCATTATTTATGCTTAAAGCAGGATTGTCTTTTGAAGCAAAGAAAGCGGTCTGTCTATTTCATAAGTGCAGTAGCAGAGGAAACTTACATATATGAGATGTAGCACTGAACTATTCATGCCACACAGATATTTCCTCATTTGTTCATCTGAAGCTGCAAAACATCTGTGCATTTCATTATTACAGCTCCCCATTTCAGCTGCCTAATGTAGCAATAGTATTGAAGAAAAAGGTTTTCCCACCTTGCAAAATTAAGAACCTTGCTATCTTTAAGACATTTCTGGGCTACTTTAGGAGCTGAAGTAACAGGCAGGTGATGGCACCTAGTTATGATATAACTCATTTTGTGTGCAGGCCCATTTTGAGAAGCTGCTTATCATGTAAGTATTGCCATTTAAATACGGAGTAATTGCTAATTCATAGGGGGCATGCTTAGTTTCTCTGAGCAGCGCATGAAGACAAACTGCTTTTATATAGGATACAAGTGGATTTTTTTGTTAGATGCTTTTACCAACAGTTTACAAGTATGCACTTTTACAGATAACTGCTAACACAGAATCAAACAAACCTCTGATTAAGCTGATCTGTATTTGGTCTCTGTTTTGTGGATTTTTTTTCCTAACTTTAAAAAAAAATGAAGGGAAAAAAATAAAGGCCCTGTGAATTGAGCAGTTAGGGCAGAAGAGAAAAAGTCAAGATGATTTTAGCATGTTATCAGTCACAGAGTCTTTTAACAGTATCTCCAAGTAAACTCACCCAGGATTCCTTAGTGCACCGACATGGAAGTCACAGCAAATCCATCATAACTAACATCACTCTCACATAGTGCTGAGTTGTTTCAACAGAGTTCATGACAATTTATCAACTACTGGTAACTCTTATAGGGCTGTGTTACATGAAAGTTGTGACAAGAACTGGGTAAAAACCAATAAACCCCCCAACAATACATGAAGAACTTGATAATTTTTTTCCAGTTCTTTCTGCAACTTTCTGCTTCAGCCTGACTTCACTTGCAATACTGGTAGGAGCCCCAGTAGTTATGTTGTTCAGCTAGGTCATTGCAGACCTCCTTCCTGAAAAGCTAGTGATGCTTTCTTGGGACATGGACCATAGGGAAAACCAGGAAACTGGTTCTCAGCCTTCCTAATCCCAGATTAAATAAATCTCGCAGAGCCAGGCATCCCTTCCAGGCCAGGTGCAATCCTGGAAAGAGCATCTAGAGGATAGAAGGACAATGTGAGTCCCAGCAGCTACCTAACAACCTTATGTGGAGGGACTTGAAAACCCTGCTCCAGGGAGTGATTGGAAGGGAGGGATCAGACCCACTCCTGATCCTTTCTCTGAGCATGGTGCAGTCTGAGACCCAGAGTGCAAGCAGCCCTGCAGGGAAGTTCTCTGGAGAAACATGTCCCTGTGACCACAGGGGCACGTAGCCTCTCTGAGCAGTGTTACATTCAGTTCAGCACCCAAGTACCTGCTGGGTTTGAACATTCAGGGAAGTTAAATATGCAGTTTGCTAGTCTCCAGTCAACACATGCGTTCTAATTACTGTGGTTTTTATATCCTTTTTTAATTTTTTTTTTTTAAACATTGTGCCCACTACAGTGTCCATATGCCACACAGAGCTTGTGGGCACTGTAGAAACTGAGAGTCAGACCTCTTAGTTTCATTGCTCTGTACAGCATGACATCAGGGTCATATTCTGACTTTGAAAAGCTCAACAAAGGCAAAAACAAAATGAGAGAGCCCTTCCTCTGCAGTCTGGTGGTAATCTAAGTTCTCAGGTGTATGGGACAAATCCTATGACATGGGATGCTGCAAGTGAGCTAATCAGCTAAAAGATGTAAAGTATGAAGTAAGTCAGCCTGACTTGGTGTACCCAGATGGTACAAAGCAGCTTTTCATTGGCTCGCTCACGATGCAGAGTTGAATTGCTGTGCTACACTCATTTCATGCTTTCTCACAGCTTTTCTCATTTAGATGAGCTCTAGAGATCACATCAGAATACAACTGGCGATCTCAAGGAGCAAATCCTAACAAATTTCTTGGTTCGCTTCCATGCAAGCAGGTGCTGTTTCTGCAACACCAGGAATATTGGCAAAACAGCCTCAAAAGGCCAGATTCTGTTGCCAAGCTACAATTTCTCTAATGTGAGCTAGTTGGATGGAAGCGACACAAGTTTTGGAGACCTGTGTAGCAGGAAGAACCAAGGGCATTACTTAAATACCTATATATGGAGTCTAAATATCAGGCCTCAGCTGTGTGGAACTGATAGAACTACAGAAATCTGTGTTTATCAAACTGTTTTACTCCAAAGAGACACTGTTGAACAGGTGTGACAGTTCCTGTGCCTTAATAGAATACAATGTAATGTCATTGGTAATTTAGGTGGTTGATGAAGCATCTCCACTTTTACATCTCATAAATGTTACCAGACTAGAACCAGGGGTTAAAGTCAGATCATTTAGAATCTTTCATACCCATAACTATACATCTGAAAGTTGTATTCATCTCAGCTCTCCACCTTTTCTGTTGATGATACAGGTTCAAAGACAAAAATCCAGCTGGCACAAGTTTAAAACAGGAAAGATATGAGGAAGACCTTTGCTTCTACTAGTTGGTCTCTTCTTCCATATTGCCTAAAAAAGGTGCTGTATGTGCAGCTTTCAGAGACGGGAAATTACTGTCAGATCCCTGCTATTACTATAATATCTAATAGGACAGACACCAGAGTCTCATAATTCTGAATGCTGAGAGCATTCCAAGGCATTGCATATACATGGAGTCAGATGGGATTGGATGTGCATGTCATGGCATACGCATGTTTATAGGTGACACTCTGTGATCAAGAGTACTAGTGCCATTGATATGAGTCAATACATTTAAGACAGGCTGGCAGAGTCCTAGGCAAACCCCTAAGATAGTTTCCTGTGAATTACTGTCTGCTACAGTAACTTGCTGTACATGCTTGCCTCTTGATGTTGACTTCTCAGTTCATTGAACCAGACTTCGTGTTCAGTCACTAATCTTCTGTGAGTGTTCACTGGCACAGCTCTAAGGCTGATCTGTATCATTGTAGGCACAGCTGCAGCTGTGGAGCTGTGGAGCTGGCCCAAGCTTCTGAGAAGTCGCCAGACTCAGAAAAGTTGGAGGCGTGCACATTGGCTGAAAAGTGGTCTGTGCTAAATCTTCTTGTGTTAACTCTTCTCAAATCTCACTGGAAAAAGTGGGAAGATCTACAAAAAGCATCTTGGCCCTGAGATCACCCATACTTATTGTTATATGCATCTATTTGTAAGACACTCTGCATGTAGGGAGGGATCTAGAAGCAGATAGAGTGCATGAGAAAGTAGCACTCATCTGGTCTTTGGGATGATACTAGATAGCACTCCGGGAGCCTTCAGCCTTGCTCCAGCTCAGAGGGCTTTCCTGATGATCTCAGAACAAAAATTCCCATCCCAGGCACAGAATTCATGTCCTGAAGACAGCTGCAGGACGTTTTTCTCTCTCTGGTTTATTATCCTAAGACATGTGGAGAAGAACATGAGTTAGCGATGGTGGTAGTATGTACAATTCCATTCATATGTGACAAGTAAGAAGGGAGATAGAAAGTTTCTCCAGGTCTAGGGTGTGATTAAAGCAGATCAAAACCCATTGCATCACTCCTGACATGGTTGTTTGAGTATGTCTACTGGCTAGAGATCCTGCATAATCTAATTCAGAAAAAGATCAAATCCAACTGAGACAGGTAGGGCTAGCACTGACAATCAGTATCATCCTGGGGAATGAAAAAGGTAGACAGGAACTTATTGCTGTTTTAGAACACAGTCCTGAGAAAATATGGCTGGGAGAGAGAGGTTTGCTTATTGCTTATCAAATACTTTCTGCATTGTGCAAAACAGCTGATAAGAAAGCTGAAACCAGAACCACATGATGCATTTGGAAAATAGAGTCTTCCCACCTAGGACTTGCAATTAAGTCAGTAAATTGCAATGAAAAGTGAACTTGTAATCAGCATGAGTACTTATGCATGTCAACACTGAGGTGCAGGTGTCTATATCCTGCCTTGCTATGAACTGGTTTTACTCAGACAAGCCATG